TGAACCTCTGGAAGTTCTCTGTCAATATACTGCTGCAAACGTTTCTGAATTATCTTCAGTAATATCTTACTTGCATGTTTATAGACCTACAACCCCTTAAATGAAAGGGAGGCTAAATCCCCTTGAGTAATGAACCCACTACATGGCTAAAATGTATAGTAGTAATCTATCTCCCAGAGCTCTGGTAGCATAGTGCATAAGGCACTTGACTGCTAACCAGAAGGCTCACGGTTCAAACCCATCAGCCACTCCTTGAAAGGAAGGTTGGGCAATCTACTTCCATAGTGATACTGCCTCAGAAACCCAAAGAGGGGTCGCTATGAGTCGGGGCTGACTCAATGGGATGGCACATAACAACAACAACACAACAATCTATCTCCCACCCTTCCCCAAAGGGATCTACAGCCTTTTATGAAGATCTGTTCGTGGAGGAAAAGGCAATAATCAGACTTTTTTAGGGATTACTGGACACTGGTTCTGAATTGACACTAATTCCAGAAGACCCAAAATGTCACTATGGCCCACCCATCTCACAGTGGTTCTGGTGCCCCAAAATCCATCTTGTAGTGCTTTCTCCAGTTCCATGATGCATAATTGTGATAGACATATTCAGCAACTGGCAAAACCTCCACGTTGGATCCCTGACATGTAGAGTAAGTAAGGGCTATTATGGTAGAAAGAGCCAAGTGGAAGTCATTAGAACTGTCCCTACCTAGGAAAATAGTAAACCAAAAGCAATACTGCATTCCTAGAGGGATTTCAGAGATTTGTGCCACCATCACGAACTTGAAAGATGTAAGGATGGAGATTCCCACACATCCTCATTTAACTCGCCTATTTGTCCTGTACAAAAAACGGATGGCTCTTTGAGAATAACAGTGGATTATCGTAAATTTAACCAGGTGATGTCTGCAATTGGAACTACTGTTCCAGATATAGCTTCTTTGCATAAGCAAATTAATACATTTCCTGGGCCTTAGTAGAGACTGAATGCTTAACCGTGGGCCAGCAAGTCACCATAGAACCTGAGGTGGCCATCATGAACTGGGTATTGTCTGACCACAGAATCATGAAGTTGGACATGCACAGCAGCACTTCATCATTAAATGGAGTCACTAAATATTTACCTGATCTGTGCAAATGTATTTGAGATTGGGCTAGGCCAAACCTGAAGGCATGAGTAAGTTGCATGAAGTGTCCCTAATGCCCATGGTCTCCACTTCTGTCTGTTACCTTCCCTTTCTCAGTCTGCACCTATGACCTCATGGGGAGTTCCTTATTAGCAGTTCACAGATGAAAACTTGTGCCTGGTTTACAGATAGTTCTGTGCAGCATGCAGGCACTACTCAAAAAGTGGATAGCAGTAGCATGGTAGCCCCTTTCTAGGACCTCTTTGAAAGACAATGGTGAAGGGAAATCCTCCCAGTGGGCAGAACTTTGAGCAATACACCTAGTTGTTCACTTTGCTTGAAAGGAAAAATGGCCAAATGTGTGATTATATACTGATTCGTAGGCCAGTGGTTTGGCTTGGTTGGTCAGGGACTTGGAAAAAAACATGATTGGAAAATTGGTGACAAGAAGATATGGTAGAAATTGAACCCACATCTTGGCTTCCAGCCAAGCAAAAGACAAGCGTATGAGTTGAACATTTACCTCAAGTAGATACACTCCTTGGAGAGAATAATCATGAGAGAAAGAAGAGCTGCTTATGCAACGGAAGACAGCTCAGGGGCCAGGAGGGCATGGAGGGATGGACACAGGGAATAGGTAACTATTAGGAGGAAGTGGGAGGGGAGCTGTGCATTGTGGTAAATTGTGGTCAATGTCATAAGACAAAGTATATGTGAAGTGCTGTATGGAAAGTGAGTTTGCTCTGTAAATTTTCACCCAACTCACAATAAAAATAATAATAATAATAAAGAAGATATGGTAAAGAGGGATAGTCCTCTCTGAATGGGCCCAACAGGGAAGATACTTGTGTCTCATGTGAATGATCACCAAGGGTTGACCTTGGCAGAGAAGGATTTTAACAGTCAAGTGGCTAGGATATGTTCTGTGGAAACCAGTTACCCTCTTCTGTCAGCCACTCCTGTCATTGCCCAATGGACTCATGAACAAAGTGGATATGGTAGTAGATATAGAGGTTATACATGGGCTCAGCAACATGGACTTCCACTTACCAGGGTCAACTTGGCTACAGGCACTACTGTGTGCCCAATCTGCCAGCAGCAGAGACCAATACTAAGTCCCCAAAATGGGCACTACTCCTCAGGGCGATCAGCCAGCAACCTGGTGACAGGTTGATTACATTGGACCACTTGCATCATAGAAAGGGCAGCAATTTGTCCTCCCCGGGGTAGTCACTTACTCTGGATATGGATTTGCCTTCTCTACATGCAGTGCTTCTGCCAGAACTTCATCTGTAGACTTTCAGAATACCTCCTCCACTGTCATGGTATCCCATAAGCATTGCCTCAGAACACAGCAAATGAAGCACAGCAACGGGCCTAGCTCATTCATTGGTCTTAACATGTTCCACATTATCCTGAAGCAGCTGGCTTGATAGAACAATGGAATCACCTTCTAAAGACACAATTATGGCACCAGCTAGGTTGACAGTACTTTGCAGCATTGTTGCAGTGTTCTCCAGAAGGCTGTATATGCTCTAACCAGTATACAGTATATGTTGCTGTTTCTTCTGATGCCAGAATTCACTGTTCCAGAAATCCAGGAGTGGAAATGGGAGTGGCACTATTACCCCTAGTGACCCTCTTATAAAATACTTGCTTCTTGTCCCTATTACCCTATGCTCTGCAGATGTAGAGGTCTTAGTTCCAAAGGAAGGAATGCTTCCACCTAAAGACACAATATTTATTCCACTGAACTGGAAGTTAAGAATGTCATCTGGCCACTTTGGACTTATGCCTCTGGATCAGCAGTCAAAGAAGGGAATTACTGTTTTAGCTGGTGTGATAGATCCTGATTCAAAAAAAAAAAAAAAAAAACAAAACAACCATTGATGATGAGTTAGATTGATAGTACATAATGGAATTTAAAAAGATTTATGCATGGAATGCAGCCGATCCCTTAGGGATAATCTCTTAGTACTACTATGTCTGTGATTAAAGTCTATGGAAAACTGTAACACCTCAATTCTTACATGACCATTAATGGCCCAGACCTTTTAGAAATGAAGGGTCACACCACCAGGCAAAGAACCACAACCAGCTGAGGTGATTGCTGAGGACAAAGGAAATATTGAATGGACGGTAGAAGAAAATAGTTATAGATATCACCTATGACCACATGACTAGTTGTAGAAATGTGGACTGTAATTGTATGAGTATTGCTTCCTTTATATGTGTACAAGTGCATAAAGGAGCTCTGGTGGCCTAGTGGTTAAAATGTTCAGCTGCTAACCACAAGGTCAGCAATTCAAACCCACCAGCTGTTCCACAGGAGAAAGATAAAGTGGTTTGCTTCCATAAAGATTTATAGCCTTGGAAAATCCTATGAGGCAGTTAGTTCTACTCTGTCCTATAGCATCACTACATGTTGGAGTCACCTCCATGGCAGTGGGTTTCATGTGTGCATATAGATTGACTCCATGACAGTGAGTTTGGTGGTTTTGGTTTAGTTTTTATATATAAAATATGTATATAACATATATAAAATATATATAACACACACACACACATATATATATATATAATATATACAAATATGTATAATGTACATTCTGTGTATATATTTTTATATTACATATATATGTATAGCAAATATTTTTGTTGTCTTCCCTCTCTATCACATTACTTATAAAATATAAGATGTTAACAGGGCTAGTGCATTTTCGGTTGTGTACATGTTAGTTGTGTCATGTAAGTTGCAAGTATGACTTTATTATTGTTTTTGTTTAGAGATTATGTATGGTTCAAGGAGATGTGTATAGGTGCCAAGTTGACAGAGGATGTAATGTGATGGTTAATGTTATGTATCGGCTTGGTTAGATTATGATTCTCAGTTGTTTGACAGACATTGGACTAATTGCTTTTCCGTAATGTAATACAATGTAATCACTCACCTTCATGATATGATGTGATGTGATCAGCCAATCATTTGTAAGAGAAGTTTCCTTGGGGGTGTGACCTGCATCCAATATATGTGGACATTCTGGCAAAGCTTGCTTACTCACTGTGGATCCTGCATCAGATTCGTCAACCTTTAACCATCAGTTCTTGGGATATAAGCTGGCAGCCTGCTACCTGACCTGCAGATTTTGAGATTCACTGGCTCTCACAGCTCTGATTTTGAGTTTGTCAGCCCTTGCAACCCTGTGTGTTGAGAGAAGCCTATAGCCTGATGCCTGGTCCACATATTTGGAACTTGCCAGCCTCCACAACTGTATGAACTATTTCCTTGAATTAAATTTATCTGTATATATTTATGAAGGAGCTCTGGTGGTGCTGTGGTAAACCATTTGGCTACTAACCAAAAGGTCAGCAGTTTGAACCCATGGTGTGTGTTCTGTGGTATATATTCTCAGCAACAAAAAATATATTGTTTTTTTTAATTGTAGCTACCATAAATAGAAGTAAAATATCAATGGGAAAAAGATGAGGCAGTCTACTTCTATAAAGATTTACAACCTTGGAAACCCTTTGAGGGTAGCTATGAGTCGGAATTGACTGTATGACAGTGGGTTTTTACTATATATTTATATATATACATTTCACTAGTTTTGCTTCTCTAGAGAACCTAGCTTAAGACAAATGTGCTATGAAAAAAGCTACTAGAACTAATAACTGAGTTTAGTAAGATCACAAGATACAAGGTCAAGATACGAAACTGTTGTATTTCTGTATTCTGGCAAAAACCAATTGGGAATCTCCTATAACAATGTTCATATCATATGTACCTTCTATCAATGTAGTACCTGCCAGTTCTTAAATTTTTTAATTATTAGAAGTAATAAATGAAATTGTTTCTTGTCATTCTTCTAGGGGAACCTATGACATTTTAGTTACAAAAGATAATAAAACTCGCTCTGTTGGTCAGTATGACAACCATGGAAGTTTTGGAGAACTAGCTCTGATGTACAATACCCCGAGAGCTGCTACCATTGTTGCCACCTCAGAAGGCTCCCTTTGGGGACTGGTAAGTGAGGAAAATTATTCAGTACTAAATTACAAGCACAATATTTGTTAACATCTATAGTAAAAACATGGAAATCATAATTTAAAGATGTAAAAGAACACTTTACTTTGACATACTGATGTAGAATTAAAAATGCTCCTGGGAAGCAACAGAAGAAAGGAGAGTTAGAAAAAAAGAAATAGAATGTGTGGCAAATTGCCTCCATGAACAACTGCCTCCTTTGCCATGAGACCAGAACTGTATATAGCCCAACTACTGTTACTGAACATTTTGATTAAAGATTCTATATAGAATCCAGGGGAGCTTTGGTAGTGTAATGCCTAAGGCATTTGACTGCTAAAAAGAATCCAGGTCAAAGAGGGGAAAATACAGAACAGAATTCCGAATTCTCATGGACTGTAGACTTTCTGGAGCCATGGAGGCTAGATGAACCCCCAAAACTGTTACCCTGAGATAAACTTTAAACCTTAAGCCAAAAATATCCCCTGAAGTCTTTTTAAAATCAAACAGTGGTTTAGCTTAACTTGCATGCCTTGAGTATTATGCTCTTTTTAAGAACTACCTATATGGGATCAACTTGACAACAGCAACTTGAAAGAGTAGGTAGAAAACTTTAGGAGGCAATGAGTTTATGATAATGGGAGAGGAAAAATCCGGAAGAGGAAGGTGAAAATAGTTGCACAACTTGAAGAATGTAGTCAGTGTCTGAATTGTACATGTGTAAATTGTTGAAATGGTGTGTGTTCTGTGGTATATATTCTCAGCAACAAAAAATATATTGTTTTTTTTAATTGTAGCTACCATAAATAGAAGTAAAATATCAAGAGTAAACAAATTCTGATGTTTTCCTTAACGTCATGATTTGTTTATTGGGAAATCCACCACCACAACTGTTATTCATCATAATACTAAAAAATGCTGAAGCATGTAGATAACACAGTAAATAAAATAAACAAGGTATACATAGTGGAATAGGAGAGCCAATATATTATAATTATCTATGGGTAATTAGAGTGTCTTTCTTGGAAAGAAATCCAAGGAAATAAATTAGAAAAATATTAAAATAGTAGAATTAAAAGATCAGTTTAAGTCTTGGATACAATTAAGCAATCAGGTATGGAGATGGTCAATTACAACAGTGAACCAAAGTGAAAATAGCAGTCAAGCCTTTATTCACTTGCTGCATCAGTGAAAGCAACAAGCAAAAAGAGCACTGGTTCCCAGTGTTCCATGTTTTTCCCCACAGAAGGGCACTGGACAGGGGTCAGGTGGTTAAAGTGCACATGGAGGGAGGGGAATTGTCTCATGCCAAGAACCCCAGTGAAAAAGCTCCTGCCTCTTTATGAACTGGTGAGCCAGGGGAAAAGGGGCAGGGAAGAGCTAAGAGGAAAAGGTCCTGGGCCAAAGTGGAGAAAATTACCTCAGCCAAGCCCCCAATAAGAAGTCTCAATGGAGAGTTGAGGACCAAGTCTTTGACTGAAACTCTTTCCAGAAAACTACAGTGCACTGCCAGGCAACGCCTTAAAATTGTCTACAGCAAGGTTGGATAGAGCAGATAGCATTTTGGTCCTGGAACTAAATTCTTCAGACATATTAAACAGACTATATATATATATATATATATATATATATATATAT